CACGGCTGGGGGGAAGAGGGCGGAGAGGAGGAGGGCGAGGAGGGGGTAAGAAGGATTTCGTCCGAAACGCGTACACGACCCGCTTGGCCCCTGCCAAACGCAAAAAGTATCAACGGACGCTGACGACGTATGCGCTCAGACGAAGCGATTGCATTTTCGGCGTGTGTCGCCACAGCAAGACACCAACGTGATGATCACTACCCTGACATGCTGGTGTGGCAGAGTGATGGATATACATGGAACGTTGGCCCTCCACACGTGCAATATGTCGTGCATCGTCGCAGGATTAGCATTATGTCGGGCATGTCCTCCCACAGGCGGATTTGGGAAGAAAAATTACAAATAGTCAAACGCATTCAAAACACATCCAGACATAGCCGAAAAGTCGTGCCCTGATTATGTTTGACTATTCTTGAATATTCCGCCTGTAAAGGGACAGGCCCGACTTACGATTAGCATCATCATGATGTGGTTCATAGCGCGCTGTTTTTGCTAACCTGTGTCATGATAAGCTGGCGCGCCAAAAATCCGCCGATTCGGCGTGTGAGTTTCAAGGAGGCTCAGCTACAGCCTCGAGGCTGAGCCTCAGCCTCTCGGGGGGTTGCCGGGGTGGCTCTGCCGGGGAAGGGGGGATGGGGGGGGGGGGTGCGAGTTTCCGGCGGATGCGGGGCGCTGCTTTTACAGAAGGCTCTAATCTCGAGGATGCGCTGGAAGGGTGGCCGCGGCCGCAAAAGTCTATGAGGACGGTCTAAGAAAGTCCCGAGACCCCGAAGGATCGCCCGAACACGCCCAAGATGGCCCCAAGACGGCCCAGGAGCCTTCCAATACGTCTGAAGAGGCCTCCAAGAGGCCTCCCACGATGGCCCCCAGAGGCAAAAATCGTTGCTTCCCATTGGTTTTTTCAATGTTTTTGGGGTTGTCGCTTTTTTCGGCTTTCCGACGCTCCAAGACGGCCCCAAGAGGCCCCCAAGACCGCTCGAAGACGGCCCAGGAGGCCCCCAGACAGTCCCAAGACGGCCCAAGAGGGCCCCAAGGCGGCCCAAGAGCCGCCCAAGACGGGCCAACAGGCCCCCAAGACGGCCCCAAGAGGACCCAAAAGAGGGACGAAAAGCGGAAAAAATCTAGCCTTCCAGCCCACGAGGCCCCCAGGAGGCCCCAAGAGCCTCCAAGAGGGCCTCCGAAAGCCCCCAAGAAGCCCCCACGACGCCCTGACAGGCTCCTAAGATGGCTCAAAAAACGCCCCAAGAGGGCGTCCTTGCGCCGATAGGCTCGCCTCCACCGCTCGCACCACATCGTCCAGGTCACATGTTTCGTAACAAGACTCCGTGCAAGACGTATCGTGAGTTTCCAAAGTGATCGGCATCCTGTATGGAATTTTCATGTCATTGTTATTTCCCGTCCCCACGGTCACTGCAAGCACCCCGCCGTTGATAGAACCACTGTTGCGAGATGGCTCTATTGACCCAACTGCATTCCTACGCCCTTTCCAAGGTAACCCGAGAAGTTTGTGCGTTTGAGTGTGCGCCCATAATGTCTGCGTCTGGAGAATAACACCGAGCGACCCGGATCGGCGGCACTGGCCGAAGGCCACTACAATATACACCATGGACTCCTAATCCGTTGCCGGTCCGCTGAAAGGTGGTCCCCCGCACTTGTACCCCGCCGTGTAAAATCGCAGAACCATCGTCCTGACGATGAGTGCCATGACGCGCTAGTGTGGCACACCGATGTCAAAACATGCTGGTGTGCCAGAAATATACACCATGGGTTTCTCATTCAGAACCGATCACAGAGATTGTGTGAGACCGTTCCGCCCCTCAAGAGCCCTCTGGACGGGAAGCCGTTCCGAGTGTGATTTCGTGGACATCTCCTCTTCGATGCCGCAACGACAGAAAACCGCGTTCCGTGGGTCGAACAGCGCTTCGCGTGAGCTACAAGCGCCGCCCTCCCCCACCACACGCGCGACCCGCTTGGCCTCTGCCCAAGGCAAAAAGTATCAATGGACGCTGACGCCTTGTGCACCAATGACGATACGATTGCATGTTCTGCGTGTCTCATCGCAGCAGGGACATCATGATGATCCGTGCCATGACACGCTGGCGTGGCAGAGCGATGGGTACACATGGAACGCTGGCCCTCCGCATGTGCATCCCGTCATGTATCGTCGCAATATACACATCATGGTACTGGCTGTCATAACGCGCTGGTGTGGCACGCCGATGTCATGACACGCTGGTGCGCCAAAGATATACACCATGGGGTCCTTATCCATCGCCAGTCTACTGAAGGCTGGCCCCCCCGCATGTGTACCCGGCCGTGCAAAATCGAAGGACTATCATCATGATGATGAGTGCCATGAGGCGCTGGTGTGGCACACCGATGCCATGACACGCTGGTGCGCTAAGAGTATACATCACGTGGTCCTGCTTCACAGCCGATCCCTGATACAGTCTAAGACCGTTTTGCTTCCGCAAGGGTGGACGGGAAGCCGTTCCAAGGCCGATTTCGTTGACATTTCCCTTTGGGTGCCACAACGGCACAACTCTGCGTTTCGTGGGTCGAAAAGCACTTCGCCTGAGCAACAAACACCGTTGTTCCACACTGGATGTAAGAAAGAACGTGTTGTCCCAAACACAACATTAAACTTGATCTTGCCGAATCACAAGTCTCGTTGGGTGACTCCTGGATGCCAGCGCTTCGTTTCACAGCGCGCAGACACGTACCTTTTGCATACCACGAATCGCAACATTGTTCTTACATTCGCAAGCAAGACCACCCAATTTACTAGTATGCCTCATCCTCTGGAGGAGATCAGGTCGCGCAAGCGCGTGGGACCAGTGCGGGGAGAAGGATGGAAATGGGAGGGAATGGGCACGACAAAGATGAGGATGTGGAGTGATGAAGGCAAGGAGGGCGGGAGGAGGGAGGAGGAGAAGAAGGAGAAGGGGAACCAAGCAAGGAGGGAGACGAGGACCAGGAGAAGGAGGCGGACCTCCCCCGCGGTGGCGACCATGAGCAATCTTACGCCGGCAACAATGACCCCTGATGGTCGAAGGCGGCTTTGAGGGTGCTCGGGGCGGCAAAACAACACCGGCGCCGTGCGCGAACATCTTGCGCTAGAAATTATCGCGCCGTGATGCTCGCTGGCGGCCGAGTCCATGCTTGGGTTGGCAAAAGGAAGAAAGTGATGAGGAGGGGGCGGGGGAGGACCCCCCAAAAAGGATCGAACAACAACTGCACAGCTCGACTTCGGCCTTCTATAGGGGGCCCGTCTCGCAAAAAATTGGACCGCTGGATGTCGGGGGGGAAGCTCCTCTGGCGCCCAGGTCGGGCCTGAGAAGATGGGGTCGGAGGACCGCGCTGCATGTGCGGGTCCGGGAGCGGTGCGGCGACAAGCCCTGCGATGACCTCGAAAAGCCCAGAGACCTCACCGCACGGTCCGTCACAGCAAGGTTCTGGGACCCTGGAGGCCCCAGTCGCCCGAGACATCCTCGGAGAACGAATCGAATTTCAAAACCGTGCGGTCCCCCCGAATCCACTCTGACTCACTACACGGTGTGGTCACAGCGCCGTTCCAGAGGGCCCCCGAGTGTGGATGGTGTCGGAGGAGCGCGCCGCGTCGCCGAAGCACTGGCGATGCATCGGAGACGCCCGGATGACGAGTCGGGCTGGCTCTGAAACGCGCCGCACCGCCTGTCGGCGAGGCGGCGCGATCCTCTCGACTCCATCAGCCATCAGCTCTGCCTCCGCGTGGGTGTCCTGGATCCTTCCTCTCATCCGCCTTCTTATTTTTCTTCTTCTCGGCCCCCTCCTTCGGAACCATGTATCCATGCCTCGAAAAATAATGATGACAGCCGATGTATTGCGTCGCGCAACTGTACACCTTACGGCGGGTACCCTCACGACGCGGATTGTCGGAGAGTTACCTCGGCACCGTATGTTAGCGCTCCGACGGCGTGCATGCGCCTCCATGACGAGTCACGTTCTATAGGCGATCATGCTTCACGCCAAAGCACAGCCCACGGCCATGACAAACACACATACAAACTCCGCAATACCCCTACCATCCCGTGTTGCAGGCATCCGCAGATTAGTCACTTCCCCGAGAAACATTCCTCGAACACCTCAATGCCTGCACTCATTAGAGCATCATGTATGCACTCGTACCCGAGATCAGTACAACGGAGCATCGCCTTCTCAGGTACGTGTGGTTTCAGCATCCACTGTGTGCCCTTCGAGCTGATGTCCATAGGCCCATACACACCGTTAGTCTCGCACGACGGCAACTTCGCCAGAACAGCCTTGGGATTCTCTATGGGGTACGTCTCAACCACCTCCAACAATTTGGCGTCGAAGTCCTTGGCCGCCGCTGTCATTGCTTTCCGGACCTTGCTGCATGGCTGGCGGCCGAAGCGTACATGAACAGAGAGTTCCAACACGATGGAAGGGTTGGATGTCCAGTTTGTTATAATGTTCTGAATCGCCTTGCTGTTTGGAATCAGCACGTGCTGATTCGAGAAAGTGCTGCCATTTGTGAAGAACGCTGTGACGGATTCGACGGTGAAGCACAAATCACAAACAGTGATGTCGTCACCGACGCGGAAAGGCCGGAACAGCACCAGCAGCAGCCCTGCGGCGAAGTTGGCCAACGTGTCCTGGACGCCGACCCCCAGCGCGATCGAGGCAGCAAACACCACACGCTCGTTGTGCCGAATGTCCCAATCTTGGAGAAAACCCCCACACAGCCCAATGCAGTATGCGATGGCTGCGATGGAGCACCACACGAGCACAGAGGCAAAATATCGGGCCATACTTGCGTCCACGCGATGCTTCGTCAGGGAGGCTGTTGGTCTCTGGAGCACCCAGAAGGCCGACGATGCGAGACACATTGCTCCAGCACATATGCAGATCAAGTCCCACTGCTGCTGACACGCGGCAGCAGCCATGGCCACAGCACCCAGGTACAAATGCATGTCGTCGCGAATCAGAGTGACCACCATTCTGTCGGAGGCTGGGGGTTGAGGTCGAAGTGAAAACGGAGCCCGCCAACAGAACAGGGAAATAGAATTCGGTTTCGGTTCGTGTCGTGGGTGACGTGCGAGGGATGCAGCTGTGAAAGGGCGGGTGAGGGGAGGGGAGATCAGAGCGAAGGCGCGGGTGGCCTGAATACACACATGCTTGAACAAAAATGGGCACGGAGGACAGGCATGAAGAACCCGCGCGGCAAATCAGAGTGGCTCCATGACGGGGAAAAAATCCACAGAGTGGCTCCATGACGTCACCAGGGGAAAAAATCCACGACGGGGGGATGGGCCCCATGCGAAGTGCGACATGGAAACTGACAGACGGCATCCTGCACGACTAGATACTGTCTTCCCTTTTTTTTTTTCCTTGACAGCCTGCCTGTAGAAATTCCTGCCACTTCCTCAACAAGACCGAATACGGGGGTGCCGTGATCCCGAGTCGGTCAAGCACTATTGTCTGCTGCATCGCGTGGCCCCTCGCTGTCTCACACGATCTCCCGCTGTCTCCTATTGTCTCCCGTTGTGCCGCTGTCTCCGATCGTCCCCCACTGCCTCCCGCTGTCTGTCCCGCTGTCTCCCCGTTGTCTCCCAATTGTGTCCCAGAAGGGTCCCTACCGCATGGTCTCCCGCGCGGTCTCCCGTACAGTCTCCGGCATGGCCTCCGGTCCGATCTCACGTCTGGTCTCGCGTATAGTCTCCAGTGTGGCTCCCCGTGCGGTCCTCCGTATGTCCAGTACGCGATCGAATGCAAGATCCACTTTTTTCTTATGCTCTTTCGCGGGTCCCCTGCCTCGCGGGTGTAATTTTTCGGCCCAGGGAACGCTGCCACCAGGGCTTGGCGCGCACTGTGGCTTTATCGGCTCCCAGAAGCAGAACCTGCGCGCTTCTCGGGAGACGAGCATGCAACTCACAGTGCGAATAGGAGCTGCGGAAAGCTATGGGCTCAAATACTGACGGCACATACTCCAGCTCACTGAAGGCGCTGTGTAAATTCCATCCTTGGCGGCAACAAATTCCACACGGCTCTTCGAATCCGAAAGGGAACAGCATACATAGAGAGTACTGTAAATAAGCAGAGGAGCAATCTAGAGAGTACCCCAGACGAAAAGTACCCCGACCAGGTCCCGGCCGGTCCCCGGCAAGGTCCCCGGCAAGGTCCCCGCAAGGTCGGGCCAGAGATGCCGGAGCCCTGTTACAGGGCCCCAGGACGGGCCAAGAGGCCCCCAAGAAGCCTCCAAGACGGTCCAAGAGGGCCCCGAGACGGCCAAAGATCGCCCGAAGACGCCCAACAGGGCCCCAAGACAGCCCAAGAGGCCTCCAAGACGCCCCAAGGGCCTTCCAAGAGGCCTCCGAAGAGGGCCCCAAGAGGCCAAAATCGTTGATTTTCATTGTTTTTTTCGCTGTTTTTTGCGTTCTGGCTTTTTCGGCTTCCGGACGCTCCAAGACGGCCCAAGAGGCCCCCAAGACCGCTCCAAGACGGCCCATGAGGCTCCCAAGACGGCCCCGGAACGGCCCAGGAGGGCCCCCAAGACGGCCCAAGTGCCGCCCAAGACGGACCAAGAGGCCCCAAGACGGGCCCAAGAGGGGCTCAAGAGGGGAACCGAGAACTGAAAAATCGAGCCCTCCGCCCCAGAAGGCGCCCAGGAGGCCCCAAAAAGGCCCCAAGAGGCCCCCAAGAGGCCCCCAAGACGCCCCAAGAGGCGCCCAAGAGGCCCAAAAGAGGCCCCAAGAGGCCCCAAAACGGCCCCCAAGAGGCCCCAAAACTCGGCTAGCCCACAACTGTGCGACAATATGGGCCGGCGGAATGAGCGAAGCGATTAAATAAGCAGAGGAGCAATCTAGAGAGTACTGTAGAGAGCACGACAATGGATACCCCACCACAGGGGAATCAGAAAGGAGACCTCGAAAGAGACCATCGGGGATACTTCACGGGAGATGATGCGGGAGACAGTGCGGGAGACCAGACGGGAAAACACACGGGGGACCATACGAAAAAACTGTGCGAGAGACCATTCGGGAAACCATTCGGGAGGCCACACGGAAGACCATACGAGAGACACCCTGAGGGTAGAACTACCACTATGGCCGCTGCGAAGATTTTCGTAAGAAGACTCGGATAGCATCCCATGTGCCTGACAAAAGGTCGAAATCTGCGGCGGATAAGCGGTATCCGTGCTCCGCCTCGGGAAGAAATTGCTGATCCAGCATGGGCGCGGAGAAGATGGATCAGCAGACTGCTGCCCCGGGTCGTCCTCCCCCGGTCCCCCCTTGGCCCTACTCTGTCTCCTCCTCCCAGTACTCCGTCGTCCGTGCTCCTCTTCCTGCTCCTCCTCCGCCCCTTCCTCCTCCTCCAGACATCCCCTCACGTCCTCCTTCCTCTGGTTCTTCCTTCACTTCCTGCCCCCCTTTCCTTACGAATGATCCTTCGCTTTCACCCCTAGGCGCGTCGGCAGCGTGGGCCGGACGTTTCGCCGGATCCAGACGCTTGGCAGCGGCAGCTTCAAGGCATGGCGAACGGGCCACTCACAACAGAGTGGCTCGCGCCTTAGCAGCGCGCGCGTTCGTCGTAAAAGTCTGCTGCGGCTTCAAGAACAGACGGCGGCTTGTCAAAATGAGGCTCCAGCCCAAGCGCCGCGTGCATCCGTTTTAAAGGTGTACCCGTTGTAAGGATTCGTAAGGTTGAGAAGTCCCAAGAACGGGTGTGTTGGCACGATTCAGGGTTGTCCAGACGCAACAATCACGTCAATTCACGGTGCTGAGATCCCACGCATTGTGTCTTGGCACGATCAAGGATTGCCAGGACGCTACAGTGTAGACGTTGAGCTCCGAATAGTGATGTTTGGTCACGAATGAAGATTATCAAACGGTTGTCTTTCAACGGGACACTTCCCGCAATGAACATAATTTCGTGCAGGGACCTATTACACAAGGGAACTTGGAGGGAGAGGTGCTTGCATTTTATTGCAGCATCGTCGACGCGTCTTGGGTTTACACTTGTCTTCCTCCTCATCTTGTTCTTCCCCCCCCTCCTCCTCCTCCTCTCCTCCCTCCTCCTCCTCCTCCTCCTCCTCCTCCTCCTCCTCTCTCCTCCTCCTCCTCCTCCCTCCTCCTCCTCCCTCTCCTCCTCCCTCCTCCCTCCTCCCTCCTCCCTCCTCCTCCTCCTCCCTCCTCCCTCCTCCCTCCCTCCCCTCCTCCCTCCTCCCTCCCTCCTCCTCCTCCTCCTCCCTCCCTCCCTCCTCCCTCTCCCTCCTCCCTCCTCCCTCCTCCTCCCTCCTCCTCCTCCTCCTCCTCCTCCTCCTCCTCCTCCTCCTCCTCCTCCTCCTCCTCCTCCCCCGATCACCTTGCCACACACCGTCCCACCTGCCTCCTCCTCCTCCTCCTCCTCCGCCTCCTTCTCCCCCTCCTCCTCCTCCTCCTCCTCCTCCTCCTCCTCCTCCTCCTCCTCCACAATTACACAACATGAATACTATTCTCCTCTCTCCCCTGGTGACGTCCGGGAAATGTCCTGCTCCCGTCCGCGTGTTGGTTTTTCACACACAGCAAGATTCCTGGGAAACGGGCTTTCGCTTAGGTTGTTTTAAATGATGCTCTCGCTCAGGCGCTGGCTTCATTCTCGGGCCACCGCTCGTTCCGAATCATGCTCCCGCTGCAGCGCTGGTCTCATTTCCGCGCTTCCGCTCGTTCCAAATCGTGCTCCCTCTGCAGCGCTGGCGTCATTATCTCCAGCGCCATGCCACGGCATGGTTTACGGTCCTTCCAAATCGGCTCGAACATCTAGAAAATGCACACTGGAAGAACCATGGGACGTGATTGCACATTCGGTGCCGATTTGTTGATTTTTGGGGTCGCAGAAGCCCCCCCCATACTTTGGGGCGTCGCCACGCCATGCTCTGTCAAGCTCCGCGTCCTCCGAATCGTGCTCCCGCTGCAGCGCTGGCCTCATTGTCGCGCTTCCGCTCGTTCCGAATCGTACTCCCGCTGAGGCGCTGGCGTCATTATTTCCAGCGCAATGCCACGGCATGGTTGTCGGTCCTTCCACATGGGCTCGAAAATCTAGATAATGCACACCCGGGAAGTGATTACACATTCGGCGTCGATTCGTTAATTTTCGGGGTCGCGAAAGCCCTCCCCCCCACTTTAGGGCGTCGCCACGCCGTGTTATGTCAGGCTACGCGTCCTCCGGATCGTGCTCCCGCTGCAGCGCTGGCCTCATTTCCGCGCTTCCGCTCGTTCCGAATCGGACTCCCGTTGAGGCGCTGTCGTCATTATTTCCAGCGCCATGCCACGACATGTTTTTTCGGTCCTTCGACCATTTTTTGTTTGTAAAAAAAACTCCCGAACAATCCATCGGAAGTGATTACGTTGTTTTTTTTGGCCGCAGAAACACCCCATTTGGGGCGTCGCCACGCCATGGTATGTCATGCTACGCGTTGATCTTCAACACCATGCTATGCCATAGAATGCTATGCCACGCTACGACAAATGGGAGGGAGGGGTAGAAAGTCAGATATAACGCCGCGAACGCACCTAGCTTGTCCCCCTCCCCTCCTCCCCCTCTTCCTCCTCCACCTCCTCCTCCTCCACAATTACACAATATGATTACTACTCTCCTCTCTCCCCTGATGACGTCCGGGAAATGTCCGGCCCCCCTCCGCGTACTGGTTTTTTGCACACAGAATCCCCAGGAAACGGATTTTCGCTGTGTTGTTTTCCAGAATGTTGCTCTCGCTGAAGGGCTGGCATCATTTTCGGGCTACCGCTCGTTCCGAATCGTGCTCCCGATGCAGCGCTGGCCTCATTTCCGCGCTTCCGCTCGTTCCGAATCGTACTCCCGCTGCGATGCTGGCGTCATTATTTCCAGCGCAATGCCACGGTATGGTTTTCGGTCCTTCCAAAATCTAGAGAATGCCCCCCCCGACGAAACCATCGGGAGTGATTACACATTCTGTGCCGATTATTCAATTTTCTGTGTCGCA